TGCTGATGATGCATTTAAATATGCCTATGTGCACACACAGAGAGAGAGAGAGAGAGAGAGAGAGAGAGAGCTTGTGACAATTAGTGTCCAGGATACAAAACTACAAGCATTACAACACTGTAAAGCTTTTATGGCAAAAAAGTTTTTGTACATAAAATGGCTTAATAGTGCTGAGTAGCTTTGCAAGGACTTCCACAACTCCTACTACTGATACGTTTACTCCCTTAGTTACATACGAGGAATAAGCTTCACAACTGCCCCTCCCAAAAGCCCTTGTCAAATATCTGCACACATACAGGTAATGGCTATGGACTTTTTGAAAATGTGTTTATTGTTAGCTCAGGAGAAAGCCTGAGAAAAGTGAGACAAAATGAAAGAGAACTAATAGCAATACCAATGTTTGCAGGTGGAGCAATCATTACACATGGATGAGAACTCAAACACTTTTGTTTAAAGATTAGATGCTCTCGAGTTTTTGAGAAAGCTGTGTCAGGAGTACTAGCAAGAGGAGAAGGTAGAGAAAAGAGGCGCAAAAGGAGTAATGAACCTAAATCATTGGAGTATTTGTTTCAGGGAGAAAGAAATTAATAAGCATGAAAATAATAGTCCTCCACACTTTGCCAGCAGGACAAAAACTAACAGGAAAGAAAAAGTCCAATTACTGTGGAAGGGGAAAAGAAAAGAAGATATATTAGAATAAAAAAGGGAGCGAGAGAGCGAGCATTATTTGGGAAGGTAAATATTAGGGGAAATGCCTGTGTGAAATGCACACAGTCCTAATTTAAATAACTAGCTAGCCAAATCTGATATTTGTGGATTTTCTAATGTGTGCAGCATGCAGAAAAAATAACAAGCATGCAATCAGTAAAGTTTCTCAGCACATATCTTGGGACTGTTTGGACTAAACTATGCTGCTGATCAAATAATTAACGATAGCGCTAGTGTTTAGGCTCATAAAAATGTCCTGTATGTGTTTTCTTTATTATTAATTTTTTGTTTTATTTTGTGGTTGCTTTATCTTTAAAATTTGTCACGGAGCTCACATAGTCATTATGAACCTTAGTATAGTAAAACAATAAATGGAAGAATTGACAAATGGATCAATTTATGGATTCATTTTAAATGCATAATTATTGAACTATTATATTAACATGTTTTTAAAACATCTATATTCTGCTAGTCGGTCCTTTTCTCATGCCAGGTCTCTATAGGCTTGATCAGTGCTGAAAGTAAGAGGAGCAGTAGCATGCAGAGAAATGGATATTTTACTGGCCAGGTATATCTTAAAACAATCAGAGGCTTGATGAATTGGCTGAATGGCTGATGTATGGCTGGAATGGAAGGGGTATTTGGAGAAGGTTTGAGTCAGGGAAATGCACCTCATCAATCAGCATGATTAAAGGTTTTGGCTGGGCTGAAACAAACTCCGCACTGTGAGGGCCTGGCCTTAAAGGCACAGTCCGCTTTTCAGCACTCCAACAGCCAAGCGTGGAGGCTTAAAACTCACATATTACCACATGCAGTCAACATTTGTGACTCTGTGTTTGTCACAATGCCAGTATGATAGACATCTGGGATTAAACAATATTAAATAACTCAGTGTGACAGTTTCATAACTGCTCAGTAACAATCCCCTATATAAGTTTTATTCACTGGGGACACTGATGGGAATCGAAATGTTTTTATGACAAGGCAAGATTTTATATGATAATATCCAGCAAATTTCAGAATATTATGTCACTTTAAAGGGAAAAAAAAAACATCATACCATATTTGTGATAGAGCATTTAGCTTCTTAAGCACTTCCAAACAATTCAAACCAAAACTAACCTCACAGCAGGACTTCTGATTATAAACCAAGGGGGACTGAGATGGCACTTTGATAGCACTATACTATGTGTTTCATAAACACCCAATCTGCACCCTGGAGAAACTTCTGATTCATTAAACACACAACCTCCTACACACCCATGAACACACACTGACAGTAGCATACTATATGCATGCCCCATGGCCAAAATCATTGCAGCCAAGGCCCTTAACCCATAAATACAGCTTCGCGCCAGCAGCTCTACATATTTAAAGCCACTAATGGTTTCCTTCGTAGTGCTCACTTGCACACACAAACACACTAAACCAAGGAGAAAAATCACTGGAGCGAGGGTAGGGATTTCTGTCAGCTGAGCAGCATCTCCAAGCAAACAGGTGCTGCAATGGCTGGCTGGGCAAGGTAAATGGCCTGTATTTGTATAGCGCTTTTCTAGTCCCTGAGGACCCCAAAGTGCTTTACAGCCACCCATTCACACACACATTCACATACTGGCTACATTGCAGCCACAGCCACCCTGGGGCGCACTGACAGAGGCGAGGCTGCCGGGCACTGGCGCCACCGGGCCCTCTGACCACCACCAGTACGCAACAGGTGAAGCTGACACAATGACGGAGACTGTCCAAGCCGGGGCTCGAACCAGCAACCTTCCAATTACAAGGCAAACTCCCAACTCTTGAGCCACGATTGTCCGTATAGGTCAGTCCCACACTTTAGCCAACATTGGCCAACTGGCTAACTAGAGAACATAATAATAATGCTGAGAGCCTGGTAAATGTTAGTAGGTATAAAAGGTTTAAACAAACATTGTTTCCTAGTCCTTCTTAATTTTTGAGATGTGTAATATCTTTCATTAACTCCTGTATTCATTCTCTAATAAAGAGCTTTTTCCCCCATACCAAATGTTAAACCAAACACATGTTTAGTTATCATACCTAATATACGGGTTTATTCATATTACGAACATGTGGTCGGCTGACTTTAATTAAAGAGGCTGCTGATTACATAATACATATACATCATGTCTGGACCAATGAAACATTAACATTCAATTCAGTTTATTAATATATCCAGTTCACAGTTTACAGCAACAGTAATATCAAGGTACTATATAATGTAACCTTAAGGCCCTGCAATATTACTGCGTCCCCCTTTTGAAAAAGCACTTGGTGACCTCGGAGAGGAAGAACTCCCATTTAAATGTCAGAGCCGTGTGGGCTCTGACTCTTAACAGTGAGAAAGAAAAACAACTTAGAGTCCAACACAGAACTTGTACTCAATTATACTGGATAACTGAATGGAAAGCCCACAAGCCCACTGATTATGAGTCCTATATCTACTGTCATTCACACACAGACACACACAAACACACACAGCCCACTAGAAGGTTGGGTAAGGTAAAGCTGCACACTTTTGCCCATTGCCAGGGGGGTAAACACAAACACACAGAGTTTAATCTGAGAGCAAACAGCAGTGCCTCATGTTAACCAGCAGGAATACACTTTCCCTCAACACTATGAGGCTTGGAGCAGTTAAGAGCTTGCACATGAAAAAGGGGCGAGTGGGGAACGGAGGGAAAAAAAAACAGAAAAGAATGAGAAGGAGGGAATGCCTAAGGGACTGAGGATTTCACCACTTTTAAAATAATTTTAAATGTTCTAAAATGTAACTGACTGATCTTTGGCTGGATTACTCTCACCATACTTGCCTTTTTTATCCTTTCTCAAGCTTTTGATGTTTGGAAGTGGTTGTACACTTCAGCTGCTTATGTAATTTCCATAATGCTTTATAACTATAATCTAAAGCTTTAAATGTTATTTGCAAACAGAGTTTGAATTGGCTACGCCAGTTTATTCATAACAGGGAAATCCAAGATTTCAGCTTTGAATGGCAGGTTTTGGAGTGTGGAGTTCAGTTTTTTAGTGTATGTAGAGTATGTGCACTTTATACACATGGTGTCTCTACAAACTGTAATAGTCTGCAATGAAGCTAAACTTTAGGGTGGATAGGAAGGCTGCATATCTAATCACTAGATCTTTTTTTAAATATTCATATATGTATATTAATTATCTGACTTCTAGCTGTCAAGAATTTTAGTACCACTGTTGATCTTTGGGTATCATTAGGACGTCTGTAAAAAAGCAACAGGTTTTTCAGCCAGTCTTAGTATTTCCCATTAAAATATAACTAATGTAAAATATCAGAGGGAATAATTTTGAGATTACAGAGATGATGCAGACCACCTGCAGATCACACTAATATTTCACTGATATTGTGTTTCAGCTCTTCACAAAGAATATTATGTGAGCATTTATATTAATTCGCTAAATACGCCCTGACACACACAAACACATAGCTGTACATGCACGCACACTCACACACATGCCAAGAAAACTTTTTTTAATATATATTTGAGTGAAAGGCGGATATTGCCCTGTGTCTTTATTCTGCTATCCGTTGATCACACCGGGTGAAAACCCCATAAACCAAAAGAGCATTTAAATGAAAGCGGTCCATTCCATGACAGCATAATCTCATTCAGCACACCTTTGTTTCTATCATGTGGCAGTGACATCTAAAAGAAGGGAAAAGGAATTAGGAATTACTCTGATGAGAAAAAATAAGACAGGGGAGACAGAAAACTGAGATATCCAGAAACAAGAGGGACTGAAAATCCATTGTACTAACTATATATGAAAGGAGGCAAGAGATGTACAGCAGAGTGATAACCAGGTTCAAACTATGCAGAGATGCAATCAACATGTCACTTTAAACAAATACGTAGATGAGCAAAGGATCAGAAAAGGGATGGCACAAACATTTTGTACTACTATGCCTGTCACCTGCCTACTTTAGCGTCAAAGTCAAGGAAGAATGAAAAGCAATCATCTCATAGAAAGCTCAAATTCAGTCTTTGGAAATATCGCAATCAATCAACAAAGAAATGAGACCAGATATTAGCAAGAAATACCAGTTTGAGCCAGAACAATGTACAGACCAAAAAAAGAAAGGAAGGCAGAAAGAAAGGAAAAGAAAGAAATAAAGATATCCCTGGTCTTCGTCTTTTTAAGGCTAACGTAATAGACTCAACATGACAAAAGGCATAAATAAAGGAAGAACAGACACGACACAACATGACAGCAATAATGGTCACTCATTGCAGGATCCTTACCTAGGACGCCAAGTCTGTAGTTTAAAGTGATGACAATCACGTTCCCATAGCTGGCCAGGATACTGCCATCAAACATATTCCCAGTTCCTTCCATGTAGGAGCCCCCATGGATGAAAACCATCACTGGTTTGGGGCTTCCACTCTCCCTAATGTCTAGAGGAGGGGGGGGTGGGGGGGTGAAAAGGAGAAGGTGGAAGAGGCAGAAGGACTGGTTAGATGACATATTGAAAGCGACGGTCAGGGATTCACTTTCAAAACTTTCATTTGTAGGGGGCTTTCGCCAACCTTTTTGGCACACTGGCTTTCAACATAGAGACCTTGTCAGTTTTAGGCATCAAAATATTTTGTCAATATGAAAGCACTATATGACTGTTGTTATTGAGATATACTGATTAATTTGTTTATCAATGTATCTAAATTCCATATGCATGTAAAGGAAAAACGATATTTGATGTGTTTAATTTAATGAGTTGTATTTTCCTTCAGGCAATGGACTGTCCAAAATGCCAGAATGGCAATCTGAAATGTCCCACTATACTGAGGAACTTCAGAGAATAACATGGGAGAAATTTTAATTTAATTTAATTCAATTTAAGAGCACATGAGGTTTGACAACTTTATGAAAAAGCTTTGTTTTATTGGGACATAATTTTACTTCAGTAAAGTAGTGTATCCTTTTTTTTTCAACTGCAGCGAAAAGCTTACCTTGACTTTGTGAATATGAATGCATACAGTGGGGCAAAAAAGTATTCAGTCAGCCACCGATTGTGCAAGTTCCCCCACTTAAAATGATGACAGAGGTCAGTAATTTGCACCAGAGGTACACTTCAACTGTGAGAGACAGAA